ATTTATGAAAATTTAACCAAATCTGAGACGGTGCAACAACATATTTCCTGAATTCTGTCTGACAGACGCTGCATGACCCGTGAACACAACATTTCATATCCAAAAAACAATATAAAGCACACGCTATGGGAATAAATCTAAATCCAGCAGTGGTTCCCTGATATTAAGCGGACATATTCTGACAACTCTAATGATAAAAAGGTAATAAAAACATTCCCATATAATGAAAAGGCAGCAGCCTCTCACCCCTCTGGGTCTGTCTGATGTTGTGATGAGCACTTTGGGATTCGTCAGTCCGTTGAAGTAGGCAGAAAATTCATCAGTTCCCTCATCAAACGCAACCTGTACATCACACACACATACACAAATACATCTTATTTTTTAATAATGCATGAACAGAAGCTAAGGGTATTTGAGCAAGCTCAGCCAAAACTCACCTCTTCATCTTCTGGATCAACCATGGTCTCATCGTACACTCTCTGGTTTTCTATCGTCTTGGGGACCTCTTTCGGCGGTGCCTTCATCAGGGACAGAATAAATACAATCAGACACACCAAATGCTACTGCTTTTGCCTGATTTAATGGTGACAATAACTTCTACACAGATGATAAAATTTGATCAAACGATGGGAACATGGGGAGAAAACTCACCTTGTCGCCTAAAGCTGCACGTTCTTTTTTCTTCCTTTTCTTCAGCTGCATCTTTTGCTGAAATACACAAGTAGAAAATATGACATTGATACAGCTGATAAGTGTTTCTGTTCTTCCAATTACAGCACTGTCACCAAATTGTCTTTTCAAGCAGTGAAGTAAAATATCAAATAACTAATGGAAAAAATAGATTTGGGGTTATGAGGTGATGCTTGAACTCAGTAAAGATGATGTCACAAAGTACATAATCAGTACATTTATTGGAAATCAGCCGCTACAATTGGTGGCGAGCTTATCAAGTAAATTTAGCACACATAAACGATCCCTGACACGAGCTCCGACACAGAGTCACAGTTTATCAGCTGCAGGTCTTCAGGATGGAGCTCCATCACAGCTGTCAGAATATTTTTCTTTTACTATTAGTAAAGAAGTCGTTAGAATATCATCACACCAGAAGAGAATTTTCATGGTTGAAGAAATCAGACAATAAACACGTCTGTTGGTTGTTTGGGCGGTCTAACAAGCTGCTGCTACTTTAGATCACCTGATGCCGTCTCTGCCCTGTGTAATAAAACCAAGAGGAATATTACCAGAAAAGTGACCAAAGTCTAAATGAAGCGGCAGTGTCACACATCACATGTCTGAAAAGCAATACGTGATCGTTTTCAGTGTGGATGGAAAAGTCTCATCACAAGGCAAGATGGTGCCATCATCTGTTTTTATCTTGACATTTCTTTAACTTTCTCCCTCAGGACCAGAACGGACAGATCCATCAGGTTTGGTACGATGACCCACAGAGCATTTGTCTGAAGGCGGACTCAGTGACATCTAAAGTAGTGAGGGGCATCGGCATGTTGAAGGGCAGAAGTGATGAACCAGTCGATAAGGGACAGACTGAAATGATGTGGAACGCCCTGTTAGGATGCTGACTGGGATACACCACTGCTGAGTCCATACATCCCTCTGCAGCAGCAACAACAGGGTGAGCTGTTCCTCTGACTTCAATATGCATGCTTGCACATCAAAATTTAGGGCTTTTAGTGTCTCATATTATATATTTATTTTACTAAGGTGCAATTCATGGAGTAAACATCTACTGATTAGATTGGCTGAGCCCCCGGAGTGTCCAGATCCTGACAGCACCAGTGAGTAGATAGTTAGCATAACACTATTAGCATAACAAAGCATCACCAATTAAACTTACCAAAAGTAACATTTACATAATTTTTAAAAACCTTTTAACAAATTTCAGCTAAACCTGGACCTCATAACAGTATTAAATGTGGGGTTTATTCCAGTATTGTTGTATAAAGCTACATTAGTTTTAGCTAGCTAACTGTAGCTAATAACCTGGCAGCTGTACGTGGCTCTTGGATGTCAGCTCTTCCTGGTAAATGGCCCGTATTTATTATTTTTACCTTTCTTTTCTCCTGTTTCAGCTTCATGAACATGAGGTGTCTCCGCTGTTTGTTCTTGATCTCGGACACGCTGAACGTCGGGGGGAAGGCGGCCCCTTCCTCCATCTTCTCCATCTTCACCTCCGGCTTTATCTCCGCTCCGCTGCCTTCTCCGGCTCCCTCCGGACTCTTCTTCTTCTTCTTCTGTTTCTGCTTCTTGCTGTTGTTTTTCTTACCTGTGCTGTCCTGGCTCACGGGAACCTCTGTGATGTCCATGTTGTGTGTGTTTTCTCACGTGTTTGCGGCGCAGAGTGTCCGTTCATGAGTTCACTTCCGGGTTCATGGAGTCAGCGGTCGGAGGTGAAGAAGAGGTGCGACCCCTGGCGGTGAGGAGGAGACACAGCGCCCACCGCACCGGGCCCAGTACTGTATATTACATGTGCTGACTAGTTTCCCTTAACCAGCCCATTATGTTGTGCAGAATTATTGAGATTTCCTCTACTAGTTAGGTGTTGTCAGCACTAGTTGAACATTTTGTCTTTACCACTTAAAGGAAACCTCCTACTTGTCACTAGCTGTCAGCAACTAGTGGCTCTGTTCTCCAACTAGTTCCAACCATAGACACCATACTAGTGAACCGTGGCACCAAAGTCTCAACTAGTTCTCTTTGTAACACACCAGTGGCCCTCTAGACTGAACTCTAGAAGTCAGACTAGTTGTCTAGTGAGCTGCAAAAGCTCTAATATGGGAACTAGTCAAACAAAGATTCAGCTCACTGGTTACGTTCACTCGTTAATTAGGGAAAGCCAAAATGCTGACTAGTTAACAAGTTAGGTTAAAAATGAATACTAGTTAAACTAGTGAAAGCAAAAATGCTCACTAGCCAACAAGTTAAATCCCTACTGACCTTACTAATTAACTAGTGAGTCAAAGTGTTTACTAGTTGAACTAGTGAAAACCGAAGGGCTCACTAGTTACACGAGTTGCGCAAATGCGAGTGGTGAGATGAGGAACGCGGGCATTGATTCTTACTATTGGATCTTTGCTTCAAAACACAAAATGCCAACCAATCAGGAGTTAGAATTATGTCACATGTCATATCTCTCTTTGTTTCACGCTAGTTAGCTGTCTACACGATTTTTGTTTAAAGTTACAGACTAGCTTTACAGCAGCAAAACAACAATTGCACATTCATGCAGTATTACAAGGTACAGTCATCCCCAAACACCTTTCCATTAAAGAAAAGGCAAAATTCACAGTCAAATAACTAGAAACTGAAAAAAGTAATAATAAATAAAAATTTGCTAAATTATAATTTAGTGAAAAAATATATTGCTTTTGAATTGTGGTTGAAAAGAATAATTTAAAAAAACAAAACAAACAAAACTGTCCCAGACAAATGAGAGCACTTTCTTTCTTTATTCTTTATTTCCGACAAACGATTAAAATAAATGGAAAATAAAAATAAAAGCCAACTTCAATATAACACACATCTGACTCGTTTGAAAAGGGATAGGAAGAAGCCTACCCCAATTCTACACCATTAATAAATGCAAAATCCAATACAATAAACCAAACAGGCAATACAAAAAAAAATACTCCAATCAAGCTATTTAAGAAAACAGAACAAAACAAAAACACAAAAGAAAATGAACAACCGCCATTAACATCTGTACATGGTACATTTTCCTTCCTCATTTCTGTATTTTTCAAAGATATATCTTTTGTACAATTTTTTAAATTGCATTAAATTCACACTTTGTTTAATTATTTCGTTAGGATCATTCCACTTTGCTGATGAGCAGTGGGCCAGAACACCTGTCAACAGGTGCAGAAGTCTGATTGAGAGTTACAGAAAACACTTGACTGCAGTGATTGGCTCAAAGGGTTGCTCAACAAAATATTAGTTTACGGGTCCCATCATGATGGTTTCCTTGTGTGTTTTTTTTTTTTTTTCAACTTATTTCAGTGACAGCTGTTTTTTTTCCTTCTTTAATGGGAGGATGTGAATACATCTGAGGACGACTGTATTATTACAAGATAAGATAATTCATGTACCATAAACTTTATACGCCAAAGTAATTTTTTTTTGTACAGATGACTTTGTGAGCTGTAGCTGCTTTGAAACGACTCCAAGTGACTTTCTTGACTTGTTCAAGTCAGTGATTCTTTTTCTGAGTCTAATAAGTGGCCCTATTTAAATTGGACGAGTCAGCAGCTGTAGTCAATCGCAGTCACTCATGAAAACTTAAGCGGTCATGCCAACAAGAAAATATTATTAACACAGTTTTCTACATCAATAAAAATTATCACTAAAGTTGGCGTGTCTATATTTGTGATCCAGTGGATAATGTCATATTTCCCAAAGACCTGCAACAAATCTATAAAAGAACTAAAATGCATGATTGTTTTTCACGTGTTTCATGATTCCATCACAGAAAATTCTGAGTCATAGGAGTCGCTGAAACCTCCAGACTACCATTTTATAGATAGTCTTTACAAGGGTGTGGAAGCTTTTGTTCACAACTGATGCTAACATCAGCTGAGTTTGGCTGTTCATTTACAGCTCTGTGTGTTGAGCATCGCTGTCTGGAGGTCTACACGGTTCATATGTTTTGATCAGTCCATAGAAAGACCTCTGGACTACAGGGTCATCGGTGCATATCGCTCCTCCTCCTCGGCCCGTCTGGCTCGTCTCCCTGTTCATGTCGGCGATGCAGGTAAAGGCACCATGGCCATCTACAGCCACACACCACTTGGAATGATCAACGGTGTCGCTGACGTACTCTACGTGCAGGAGATTCACGTCCTTCACGTTGTACACGTGATACGGGATGCTGCAGTTGGAAGGCAGAGATTCATGCAGCTTTCCCCAGCTCTTCACGTACAGATTCTTTTTCGCAATGTTCGAAATAAGACCAGAGTAAAGATCTACAGGGGGGTAAAAAAAAACAAAATACAACTTCAATTTAAAACATCAAATATAATGCAATAAAACAGAATAGCTTAAAAATTACTGTAACATGAAATACAATGATACAAAATGTACATCATCCATAATCTCCATCATTAATAACACTGTGGGTCCTAGCCTTAATATTTATAACTGTCAGGTCAAGTTGCACTTCAAACAATTAGATCTAATTTATCAATAACTATTTTTGTAGAGTTTTAGTCCTTAGTATTTAAATTACTCAGGTAAAGTCACATCATAAACAACCTTGTAGGACCTGAACCTTAATATTTACACAAGATAGGGAGAGTCTTTGTCGGGTCAAACAAACTTTTAGTTTTCTTTAAAATCCTGGAATGTTTACTATAACTGCAAACACTCACCATCCCCAAATCGTGTGTATTTTGCAACACTAAGGAAGCTACGTCCTGACACAGAATTCAGTGGCATGATACTAGACCAGGGTTCTTTTTTCGGGTAGCAGTCTCGCTGTGCGACACATCGCAGCTCATTGTGAAAGGTAGTTGGGATGTCAGAGTCAAAGGAGTAGGCGTGGATGTACTTGAGCTGCACTCCTGCAAATTCAGACAGAAGTTATTTCAGTTTAAGTTGTGTAATTATGTCACCATCCAGTTTGTCAAATTCAAATTTAGGAAAACAAGCAGTTAACCTACCTATTTGTTTGAAGCGATCATAAGGGTAAGTAACACACAGAAATGTTTGAGCGTTAACATTTCCGCTGCTTGGCCAGAAGTCTTTACTTTGAGATGCTGGAAATCTTGGTGTGCTGTGTGAAAGCCAAACTCCAGTTTGTTTGTCCAGCATCACAACCCCTTCAGAAGGTAAGAAATTAAAAGAGAGAGTTGATATATTTAGATTTTTCTCACTTTTAATGCAACCAAATGGAAGATAGGAGATTGGAGAGACCTACCTTTACTGTGGCCAAATGATGAAGGAGCACTACCTTTACCTGGAGGCTGGTCATTGTAGAGCATGTATCCAAAATGTTCAGTCTGCACAAGAAACAAACCACGGAGAACTCTGACACCAGATTTAACAGCTAAAGAGACATGCATTACCTGCTTTAATACAGCACCTACAAAAAAGGAAAGAACGCACTGTAAAAAAGAAACTGTTAAAAAACAAACTGAAAATTTTTTTTCCAAAAACTACTGTAAATTAATGAAATATGTTTTTCTTTTTGTTTTATTTTTAATTTAAAAAAAAAATCACCTTTTTGACATAGAAGTCAAGAAGAGGCTGCAGGGTGTTGGCCAGAGAGCCATATCCACTGATTATCCTGGTGCTGAGTGTCCATCCATTGGTGCTGCCATCCATGTACAAATACTTCAAACCTCTTTCATACGTATTGGGAAACTTGTATAAGATATACCTAATGATAGGATAACAAGAGAAACAGATTCCATTGTGCATTCACCTAAAACTGAGAGATGGTGAAAACATAAAATTGCTAAATGTCCACCCACCAGTCAACTGGCTTGTTCTTGTCATTCCTGCATGTCACAGCTGAATCACAACCCGGAAAAAAGATCCAAACGCTGAGGAGGAATCTCAAACACAAGCATGTCTGAATCACAGAAACAGGAGGAAGTCTTCATTTAAGGTGTCACATAAAGCAGATGTTTTCTGATAAGTCACCAGAGAAAACTTTCAAAAAGTGCATTTTGGTCTCTCCATGTATCAGCGTGTGTGATGGATGGTTGGTCACAACAAGCATAGACAATGAAAGGTCTCATTTTCACCCACATTTTGATACCAGAACCATCTTCTGGACACGATTTGGTTGCAGTTGCATATGTCATTATGTCTGGAAAATGTCATGTTTCTATCTCCTGTATTTATTAGATTTGATTAAATTCAACTGTACCGTCGTTGCAAAGAGTACAACCTCTAAAAATGCAGCTTAGCATCGAACCAGAAGTGCAAAAGCGGCAGTAAAGTGCATTACAGTTTGTGTGTTCACAGTGTGTTATGGTATCAACAGAATGAACAGAGTGGACAGAGAGGAGCGGGTGCACAGAGCAGGGCTGGTTATCACACATTTCTGCATTTCTGTGAAGCCACTTCCTGATCTGAACGGTTGCAACATCCAGTAAAGCAGCCCAACCCGTTTCGTTTTCAACGCTTTGGTTTCAAAGTCATAATAAAATGTCTCTTAAACGTATTTACAATCTTTGCAGTGTAACAAAGAATAAAAAAACTCAGAGATTCTTAATTTTCATTTGAAAACCCTGTATACTTCTAAGTTGTGATAGTTCAGAGAGAAAAATAAACATTGACACCTTTTAAAAGTCCACTGAATGAACCTGCTGGCTGCTGTTATTTTCACTGATTGTAAAACACGAAGCTCTGCTGGCGTTCTGCATTTCAGCACAAAAAGTTTCAGCTAACAATGTTCTGTTCACACTGTTTCCTCTATTACACTGCACTGTAGTGTATGCTAGACAGAATACTGTGTTCAGTCTGTCTCTGGGTTCAGTGTAAAAGCTCTGTTAATCAATTCATATTATTTGCAGCTCATTTACAAATAATAAAAATAATGTGCAGGTTTTACTTACATATCCAGCCATCTTCATTTCCCACCACACAGCTGCTATTGTTAAATCTCACTTAGAACTGACTCCCTCACCTCTGATGCAAACTTCCCACCTGAATGCTGACTTTCCTGTTGTAATCTAGTTAATCTGCTTTGTGTTTCTGCAGAAATAGCGTCATTCACAATGACTGCTGTGTCTTGCAACGGGCAAAAGCATAAACACTTCTGTGATTAATAGAAGGAAATGAAGACCTGTGGTTGAGACACAGAACCTCCTGTTTGACAAACATGATGATATTTACTGTAAACTTCAACCAACATCAGCATTCATTATCACAACTACTTTTCACCCTGTTTGTAGAAGAGTCAGTGGATCGTGCAGAAACCTGGTATAAAAGGGGCAACAATGACATCTGGGGAGCAAAAAAATGGCCCTGTTGGCTGATGATCTATTAATGCAACCTGCACAGACACTCGCAAAAGTGATGAAAATACTAAAGGAATATGGGTTACTTTATGGGTACAAAATTAATGTCAATAAACATAGGTATTAGCATTTAACTATGCCTCACCAAACAAGATAAGGAAGCTATAAATAGAAAAGGAGGAAGGACTTTATATGTAGAGCACCTTCAAAGCACGTAGTCACAAAACGCTTTACAGTCGGAACAAAGGGGATAAAACAATAAAAACTTAAAAACAGCAAGAGACCATTAAAACACAGCAAAATTGTAAAAAAAAAAATTAATAAATAAAGGCCAAACGGTTAAAGTGAGTTTCAAGAAGAGATTTAAAAGAGGACACAGAGTTTGAGGGTCTGAACGGAGGAGTGACCAAACCGGACTTGAACCTTCAGAAGGGCACCTCGCTGCTGCTGGACCTCAGGCTGTGTTCAGGCTCGTGGGGAATTAGCAGTTCCTGGATGTGGGCAGGAGTAAAGGCTTTAAAAACAAGCGATAAAATCTTAAAATCAGTTCTAAAACTCAGAGGTAGCCAGTGAAGGGCAGCAAGGAACCTGGTGTCATGTGGTCACTTCTGTCGGTGCGAGTTCAACGCCTGCCGGCAGCATTTCGGATCACTTGGACTCTTCCAATGTTTCACCTGCTGAAACCAGAGTCAAGTGCGTTGCAATAGCCAAGACTGGAGGAGATAAAAGCATCGATGGCAGTTTCAAAAAGTGGAGGAGAAAGGAACAGACGGATTTTTGTTAGTTGTCTCAATTGTTCCACCTGGGTCACCTGTGCATCCAGAGATGCAGAGACACCTAAATTGCGGCGTCTTCAGTGGGATGCAGAGCACATTAAACAGGATGCACTTAGTTAGGATGAATGTGCTTCCAACAATGCTTTACCTGTTTCAGTGTCTGCCAGTCCAAACACCAATCAACAGTTCCTAGAATGGGACTGGTTCATTTCAGGATACCTGCAGCAGGGGAAAAGGGCCAGGATTAAATATAAAACTATGCAATAGAGAAAAGACAAAGAAGCCTTCCTTGCTTATGCAGCTCAGTTGAGACCTCTCCTTTGCTGATGTTCACCAACATACACGGCAGGATGTAAGGAAGTTGAAGGCTGATGGTAACAGGATTACCAACCATGGCCCTACTGGCAGACACCAAACTACAGGGTGAACTGATGGCTTCAGATGAACCCATGTCTGACATTTCTTCTGAAATCCTGGCAGGAAATTGTTAAAAAATTTTGCAGATTAGGAGACTTATCCAAAATTTCAAATGGTGCGGTCATGACTCGGTGTTTGCGTCTAAAACGTATGATAACAGATTTAGGAAATGGATCTCAAAAGGTGTAACTATCATTCATTTGTCCACAAGGGGGCATTCCAGAGCTCTGAAGCGCTACAGAATAAATACGGATTACGACTTTTACAGATACTTACTACAGATGTTACTTGTTTCTATCAGCACTTAAGCCCGAAACCAGCAACAAAATCGTATCCAAACCTCATAATGGCTTCCTACATCTTAAACACAGAGTATATAAAGAGGAAGTTGGAGTTGGGAGAACATATGTTAGCTATAGTCTCGGCAGGTTCAAACACTCGTGAGATTTTTTTGTTACACCCATCCAGAACCGACACCGGGGGCCGTGGTGTCGCCTGTTGGAGACTTTGCGTGACTCGCGAAGCTAACCAACAACTGCCATGTCTTCTGGGATTGCCAGGTCATTATAGCTCATTGGGAACGGCTCCATGAACATATGATAGTATATCTGGTGTAAACACTGGTTTTAAATGTGAAGTTATGTATTTGGGTGACATACTGATTGAAAGAAATGTTAATGACAAGAAGTTATTAGCAACAAGTAAAGAACCACCACTGAGGAATGGATTGACATTGAGGTTTACATTATTGAAAAGTTGACATTTTCCTTATAAAAGAGAAGTTCTACCAGATCTGGACCGAATGGACTGAGCATATAAAACCCAAATGGTGTGATTTTCCTTGAATCTGCCTGGACCTAGACACAACCGGCCTTCTTCATCTAATTTTCTTGTCATTCTTCTTTATTGAATGTTGTGAAGATGATTATAAAGAGTGAGCATCCCTGTTCTGTTCTGTTCTGTTCTTCTTATGCAACAAAAAAAAGTGATGTAAAAAATAAATAAATAAATAAAATAAAATATTGGTAAAACAACAAAGTCTTTAATGTTGTAAACACAACATGCTTTGGAATTATAATATTTAACTTTTTCAATTAAACAAAAAGAAGGGGAAAAAAAGGAAAAAGAAAAGACAATGTATGTAAAGTTGTCCTAGATATTTCCACCCACTCAGTCTGTCCAGTGGTTTCAGCAGCAGCAGCCATTTAAAGGTCATTTTTTTTGCAGCAGTGGATTCTCACACACTTTTCAAAAAAGATCAGGGACACAAAGTTTAGACAAGAAACTGCTGAAAACCATGGAATTCTAGCTCTGCAGCATCAGTTACCATGGTGATCTCCGTGTGCAGCATCAGTTACCATGGTGATCTCCGTGTGCAGCATCAGTTACCATGGTTATCTAGCTGGGCAGCATCAGTTACCACGGTGATCTAGCTGCGCAGCATCAGTTACCATGGAATTCTAGCTCTGCAGCATCAGTTACCATGGTAACCTCGCTGTGCAGCATCAGTTACCATGGTGATCTAGCTGTGCAGTATCAGTTACCATGGTGATCTGGCTGTGCAGCATCAGTTACCATGGTGATCTCCGTGTGCAGCATCAGTTACCAAGGTTGATCTAGCTCCGGGGCATCAGTTGCCATGGAGATCTATCCAGGTACAAAATTGAGCCACTTTCAAGACACTTGAACTTTTCATTGCACTTGAACATGTCATTCTCAGGGTCCTGCTTCACTGCTGTATTGTGTTTGCACGTGTTTATGTTTATGTATTTTCTAGCGATCTCTATTTATTATATCTTTATATCTTAATTATTGGGGGATGATGCTTCTTTTTTTTGGGAGGTGTGCGTATGCAGGCGCACAGAGAAATGAAAAAATAAAGAGGGAATCTTGGAATCTTGGAAAAGGTCCAATAAGGTGAACGGATAAAACTGACTCTGAATGCGTTGTTGTGGTCTTCAGAGTTTGTGGCTCTGTTCACTGTCAGCAGGCGGCCTCAAAATTTAAAACAGATTCAAACGTCTAAATCTAAGGCAGATCAAGTCCCAGTCATCCCACTCAGCAGCCGATGTACCAGTCCACCACCTGTCTGAATGCCTTGTAGATCAGGGGGTTGAAGGAGCAGACCAGCCCCCCGCCACGCCACATCTGGGCCCGCTCCCTGTTCAGGTCCCCCAGGCAGGTCACCTGGTCCTTGTACGATTGCGACACGCACCACTTGGAGTGATCGTAGTGGGACTGGAACAGAAGAGAGCCGGGCAGCTGGATCCGCTTGACGTTCATGGTGTGTTTGGGCAGCGAGCAGTTAGAGGGCAGCTCGTGACCTTGTCTCTGCCACGACTCCACCAGAAGGTCGGCGTCCAGCACCTGAGCCACCCAGCCGGTGTAGATATCTGAAGGAACACCAGCGAGCAGGGAAATTCAGCTGCATTAGGGTTTTGAAAAATACATTAGAAATCACATGAAAACAGAAAACAATGGATAAAAAATAAAATGAAATCTAAACAACAACATCAGTATCATCAACAGTTTGTCAGTTTCCGTATCGTTTATACGCAATATGTCAGAATTTTATTTTCAGATGCAATATTTCAGTGTCTCATCTCCTTTCGCAGGTGCAACGTTTAATTCTTATGTGCCATGTTTCATTATCATGTGTGATGTTAGTTGTTACCGCAGCATAATCACCAGCATTACTTAATACTGTTCTACTCCAGCCTATTTAGCTACTTATTTTATCGCAGTAATGTATTGTACTTATACTACTTATGCTACGTCATTTAGTTGTTTTCTGAGCGACATCAGAACTTCTTTCGGGGAATAATAAAGTCTTATCTTATCTATTCAACATAAGAAAGAGCTCTAAAAACAAATTAAAATGAACACAATCATTGTTTTTTCTGTATTAGTACAACTGCTAATGAAATTCTGTTCATATTACACAAATAGTTTGTGATATCAACAAACTATGCTGAGTCAGGGGAACTAGCTTTTCCTCTACAATAGATGTTTTTTAAATCACCAGCTACGTAATAATAGTTCTTTTAAGAACAAGGTGGAGAAATGTTACTCTACTGAGCCAATTTAATCAATTTACTACAACTTCAATTTAGTTTTAAGTCGTTTAAATGCAGAGATTTGAGTTTAAATGACAAAATACTGAGCTGGTGTAATGACCAACATCATTCTGTCAACACAACTTATCAAAACAGTGTTTTTTAAGCTTTAGCTAAATGAACAAATCTGAATGTTTATCCTGCAAAGTGGTTGTATGCTGAATGAGTTTTTAGACATAGTTATGCTGTAATTAGTGCAGAGACACATATTCTTATTTGAAATGGGTTATGGGATGTTTCATAGCAAAAATATAATCTTCATGTGGTTGCATTTTGCGTTTAAAGGATTTATGAGAATCTGATAGATGGGAAGATTTCCTTCATGAAGTTGTCACACTTAGAACATGAAATGAGGCCTCGGTTTGGGTGTGATTCTGCACTTAGCCGTTCTGAACTGTGTGTCTGACAGTGAAAAAAACTGTCATAGACAAATAAAATGTGCAAACAGGGCAGTAGCAGAAAGAAGTCCTCGTGCAGTCTCAAGGAGCAACGAACTGAGGAATACCTTACCCTCCACAAAGAGTTCAGATTTGACGAAACTGACAAATTTGTCCCCCTGGATGGAAAAAAGCTGCTCCACTCTCTTGTTTGTGGCCAGCGGGGATTTGGAGCCTTTGCATAGCTGCACCAGCTGCGGCAGGTCGGACACGAACGCAGGAGGCACCGAGCAGTTATAGAAACGTGGGTAAAGATAGAGCAGCTGCTGGGCTGGAGAGCAAAAAGAGGAGAGAAATAACAGATACTATACGTTACAAACAGGACACAGAAAGAAAATCTGCTGTAGGGTTCAACTGAAGTATTGCTTTTCTGAACTAGATTTGCTAACAATTGTATCTTTTGTCTTTGTTCAGCTCAACATTTTTGCAGATATAAAATATTCTCTCAGCTGAGGATCAGTTAGGAGATGACCTGGTCAAAGTGAGACGCTTCTTTCAGCTAATTTAAAGCCTTAACTCTGAACAGAA